AAAAAGCAAGACAATCTGAAGAAGGAGTTTTGTGTGCCATATGCCACGATGTGTATCACATCTGCCGCAATGTTATGTGACCATTATAGAAGAGAGAGGCTCTCTATGCAATGTGTCATAACACTATGGCACATGGTTAGAATTTGTAGTCATAAGATTGCATTAGAAGTTCAACAATAGAAGGAAAATAAAGAGAAGAAATGAAGGACACACTCATGTTCTCTCTAGGGATTCATGGGAGGTTTGAGGGCATTTGTAAGCCACCAAATACATAAGGTAAGTTTTCTAAAACCCTTTGCTCCCTTTCTCCTCCTTTTTCTTATGAGTTGAGAAAATGATTTCAATCCATAAAGGCTATAGGTCTAAACTATTGACTTAAAATAAAGTTAATAAAAGTTATTTAGGTTATTTAAATCAAGAATTAATTATTTCACAAGTATTTGGTAGGTGGGAACATTAATTGTCAAAAAATAATCATAAATGATATTGTTGGAGGTTTTAAATAGCCATTAATAGTGGTTTAATGGTTCATTAATAATAATTTGAGTTAAAGGAAGCTAATAGACGGCTATGCTTGAAAATGAGGGATTATGTTTTGTGCAAGTTAGAAGGGTTAAGTTTAAACATTGAAATTTATCCAAATAAAGATATTAATGATTATCCTTGTGGTTGAATTGTAGACTACCCAAAATTGGCACCATTCAAGCTAATGAAGTTTAGAAGTATTGGTAATTCAAGGGTAAATTTTTGACCTCTCAAAGTTTGAGTTAAATAAGGGAAATTTAGTCTGTGTAATTGCTTGTTAATAATTATTTGTGGACATAATTTGTTTTGAAACTTATTGTGTGTTTGTAAACTCGTTTGATACAAATTTTGGCAAGATATGTGATGGGTTAGAAATATGCTTGAATTAATGAATGAGATGGATGTTGATACATGTATGATTGATGTTTAGAGTAAGAGCATATATATTTGAAAATAAATAACTGAGGTATTGTGCATAATGATGTGGTGGAATATGATGGAGATGAATTGTGATGAGTGAGATATGATGTGATGGTTGTCAATAGTATTGCATACTATGTGTTAATATGGCATGGCATAATCATTATGGCAAAAGTTTGCCTAGGAAGAGGAGTAGTGGTAAAAATCCATGTGGTATTGACAGTTTATCATTGGAATCGAAAGCTAGCATGATTGCTGATTGTTTAAAATCTTCCTTAAATATCAAAGACTTTGATTATAGTTTAGGATCATGGTTTGTGATAGATCACACCAAAGAAATCAATTCTTCATAACTTTAAATCAACCAGTAACCCGTAAAAATAAGAGGAAAAAAGCCATCAAGAATTGTTGAACAGAAAAAGATGAGAGCAATCACCCCTATACGAAGAAAGAAATAGCGTGTGCCTTTCTACTCTCTAATTCTAAAAGTGTTTGGCTACCTCTATTGTCCTTCTTATTTCAATTAAGAGTAATGCATTGTGAGGCCATGTGCTCCTTTTTTTAAATTCAATTATGTGTCACTTAACAAATATAAAACCTAATAATTTAATAAAAATGACAAAACTACCCTAACAACCTTAATCGAAATTATATTAAAAGACCCAAAATAAATATAAATAAAGTTTCTAAAATTTAGTTCTTGACTTGATCTTCAAGCATGCCTATATTTTTCTATTTAAAATAATCTCCATCAATATCTTCCAAATTAAATCTAGAAAAATCTACATAATAAAATAAAATTAAATTAAATAGAAAAATGTACAAAAATGTCAAGGATATCATTTATATTTTAAAATTCAAGATTTAGGTAGTTAAAATCCAAAAGTTGAAGATTGGCTATCAAATAATATCCCAATTAAACTCAAT